TTAAAAAAAAAAAAAAAAAAAAAAAAAAAAAAAGATTGGCTAAGGTTGCACACAAAACAAGTGTGCAAGAAACGTCCAGGGATACTGCAATTTTTGGAACAATGTGACAAATCTGGCTGGTTGACATGTGATTAGTCACCACGTCTGGTTGACCAGGGTGACCCCTTTGTGACCAATGTGTATGGTTCACGAATGTGACCACTTGTGACCTATGTCACCCCTTGTGAACCTGTGTGACCCCAATGTGACCCCATTGTGACCTCATTGTGATGCCAGTTTGACCCCAAGGTGACCCCAAGTTGACCCCAAGGTGACCAATGTGTATGATTAACCAGTGTGACCATTTGTTACTGATGTGATGAATGTGGTCACTGTGTTTGGTTGACCAATGTGTCCCCTTCTTCGCTGGGTACCGCAGTTGATGCGCCTCCCCATTATAGGTAGTAGCTCCATTACCCATTGGGAATCCATAAGATTTCCCAAAACAACCATATTGTACTGAGGGTTGAGAATGTTACCCTTATGGAGAGGTGATACCCTGATAGGTACCCAACTAAACTCCCAACCATCCTTGCTCTTGTTTTGATGATTCTCTTGTGTGTGTGTGTGTGTGTGTGTGTGTGTGTGTGTGTGTGTGTGTGTGTTTTGTTATGAACTTGCCGAATTCTTGATGCGAATCAAGCTTAAGTGAATGTCATTCATCGTTCTCTTAAGATAAGAAAGGCCTCCTTATCTATCGGTAGTTGTATGCTTGGACACTGGTTGACCTGATAAAGAAAGCGACCTCTGTGCTGCCCATCTCTGTTCGGCCTAGGCTCGCCAACCTACGTGCTTACCCGCCAGCGAACACCATCTTTCTTATTATGTATGGTGTGCGTTAATTGAAATTTGAAATAGAATAGAAATGGGGGCACAATTTATTTAAATAAACAGGCCTCTGGTCAAATAGTTGAAAAACAAAAGCACAATTCTAAGCTAAGACATTGAGGCCGTTGGTCGGTCGCGTTATCTCATTGGAGTATAGCGAAGTGGAAAGGCATCGGTTTTTGATACCGACACGCAAAGGTTCGAATCCTTTTGCTCCAGCGATTAATTCCAATTCAGTTTTTGTTTTGAAAGCTGACGTATTAAACTTCGGAAACCTCCAAAAGAAGCCAAAACAAAACCTATCCAAGTACAAAAAATGAAAGGTAAAATGAAAGGTAACTTCATTATGGTAGGTAAACAACAAGTTCCAAATAATGGGAGCTACCCAATAACAAATAAGAAAAAAGACAACAAGAGGAAAGAAATTACACTCAAATAGAACAATTTTGTCCATTGGACCCTTTGTGTTTTGTAACAACTAGGAATAACAAAACACCAAATTTGATAACTGAAAAAGGGGAAAAAAAAGAAGGGCGAAGCTTAGGGAAATTTGTTACATATGTTTTCAAAGCTTCAAACAAGAAGCTTTGAATGCTTTTAAATCTATGGTATTAATTCTACTCTCTACTTGTAGTGTGCTTTTCATGATCTCATCTTATGATTTGATTTCCATGTATTTAGCCATCGAACTTCAAAGTTTATGTTTTTATGTTATTGCAGCATCAAAACGAATGTCTGAATTCTCTACAGAAGCTGGATTAAAACATTTCATTTTAGGTGCCTTTTCCTCTGGGATTTTCCAGAAAGCTCTCACCGTGGTGCTGGACAGCATTTACGATCCAGAATTTCTGGACTGTTCTCACGCGAAGCGTGCAATAGTCCAGGTAGACCGAACATTCAAGAGTGTGACTTGGGTTATAGAAGGTGACATTACCACAGCCTGCAGCAACCTTACGGCTCGAAGAGCAGACGCTTCGCGTCTGAATCCCACGAAGGCACGAAAGCGCGTAAGAATTTGACTGTCTTTGCGGATACCGCTAAATGCATCAAAAGACTTCAAAGTTCAAACCCAAGGTTTCCGCAAAGGGAATAAGCCACAGGCATGTTTTGGATATATGCACTTTCCTCAAAGTGATAGGGGCTCGGCGGAGAATGAGTCTCGGATGTATCCTTCTTCGGAGTACTTTAGAATAAGAGATAAAGAACAAAGGAGAATGAAGCAGTTCAGGCACAGGCAAAGGGTGGTAAATCCCGACTGAGAGAAGTCAATTTTATCGGCCAGACAAGAGGAAGGGGGTAAGAGTAGGAGACTTACAAGCACCAGGCCAGCTTAGGCAGGGGTGAGGGGTGGTACATCCTTCCTAAGGCAAGTGATCAATGCCGTCCACTCGGACCTCCCAACCACATTGGGAGGGCCGTACCGTGAGTATGTACCTGTCCTTGATTTGACTTGCTGGGAGAAAAGGGACCGGACTGCTGCTCCCCAAAATAGGAGCCCAAAAAAAAAAAAACAGAAGAGAATGAAGAAAGAAGAAGAAGAAAAAGAACACAATATGAGATCAATGTTCCCCCCCCAATTCTCTCCATTTGCATCATCATCCCTCTCATAACTCCTCTTGATTACAAAATATAATGACAATGAATCAATGGATGGATGAACAAGAATCAATGTCCGAAAGATCCCCTTACTGTCATAGTAGAAAAATCTCCCCTTTAGCACTTCTTTCTCTCTCTTCACCACTAGATGAGCTGGTAGCTATGTCAGATCATTTCTGCTGAGTGCGGATGTTCGAAGGACAATGCGACTACTACTATACTTTTCCCTCCTGCTACCTCCATAGCCTGCCTCCTGGATGAAGGGCATATCCAGCCGGCATCCCTCCCTTCATGTTGCAGAGCCAGACGGGTAAGCGAAGATGAAGGTCCACCATAGCCAGAGTTAAGTCCTCCTCTCAGTTCCCTCCTTTTTCCTCCTACTCTCACTGACTACTGTCCTCCTCCTATCTCAATAGCCCAGATTGGGCGTATGCTACTACCCCCTCCATAGCCATGGAGCTCTCCTTCATCACCCTCTCCTCGTTGCTCACCCAGGGCTCCACCTCTTCACCCTTTTGACAGAGCGGCAGCAAGACTGCTGGGGAAACGACCTGTGACGAATCCAAGACT